GTCAGTCTATGTGAGTCAGTTCGTTATCAGACTTCCGCTGCATAAATGCTCATCCTATATTGGTTGATCTTTGGTTCTGCCCATACTTATTGAAGTATGTAACAGGTTGTCTCTTTCTCAAAAAAAAAACGGTTTCCCTGTGTTTCCTTGCTGAAAAAGGTTTCAAGTTTCAACACAGAGGGGACTAAGTAAAAATGCCAAGCTTGAGCAAAATGGGCAACCCTTTTAACTGTCCAGAAGGGCCAGAACAACAAAAAAAGAGGAAAAGCATATGAGCAAAAGGAATGTATGAAAGAGGTCGCCATTGCTGGTACTAAATTTAGTTTGCCAAGCTTCACCACAGTGCTGTCGTTGAGTTAGTTGGAGTTCCTCCAAGCAGTTCTTCTGAGCACTCATTTCCTGTCCAGTTAGTGTACTAGTGTATTCAAATGTTGCGCCAAGGTGTTTGACTACACTACCGGTAGTTCTGGTGAAGCTTGGTGAATTGAATTTAATAGGTCACCTGTGGCCCGCAGATTTGACTCCACTAATTGGACACCACGAAATGAGTGCTCAGAACTGCATTGACTGGACAAATTGGACGCAAAAGTGTTGTCCAACGGATTTGACTTTGGACTTTGGAGGAAGTTTGGACACAAAATGAGTGCTCAGAACTTCTTTGACTGCCCTAATTGGACACAAAAGTTGTCCCCTACAGATTTGACTGCGCAAGTTGGACACAAAACGAGTGCTCAGGACTGCTTTGACTGCGTCAGTTAGATGCAAGACGTTGTGTCCAACAAAGTTGAATAGTTTCATGTCGCTGTCCAGTAGGTTGAGGATGATATGGTCAAGTCTTTTGTTCTGTGCTTCACTGTAGGAAGATACTGACAACCCACAACACCCATCTTCTCAAAACAGCAACAAACATGTATGACGTTGTGAACTTTATGAAGGTCTGAAGTATATGACTAGAAAGTTAGAATCATGCGGTACTTAATGGGTGAGGGGAGGGGAGGGGGGGGGGGGGAAGAGAGAGAGAGAGAGTTTATAACTTTATACCAAGCAGTTCTGAGCATTCATGTCCAATTGGTGCAGTCAAATCTGGCGCCATGTTTCGCAGAAAATTGAGGATGATGTGTTCATCTGGGAGACCGGTGACAACATTATTTTTCAAATGGCAACAGCCATCTACACTGATATTAAAAAGTAGTAAGAGTCCCTGTGGCACATCTGGTTACCGGGCAGCAACCGACTGGACAACGACAGGGATGGAAAAAGGGTCCTACGTGTGAGGTTGGCGGTATGGCTGAAACAGCGAACTGGTATATTTTGGCGGGCAGATGCAGTACAAGGGGATGGTAAACAATGATAGAGGAATAGAGCACAAACTGCCACAAAGAGATTCACGCTAGAAGAATATTGAGCACAAATAGATTCACTCTAGAGAGGAATTGAGCACAGATAGATTCACTCTAGAGAGGAATAGAGCAGAAATTAGAGCACAAATAGATTCACACTAGAGGAGAAGAGCAGGGGTAAATTCACACTAGAGGAATAGCACAAATAGATTCATGCTAGAGGAATTGAGCACGATTAGATACACGCTAGAGGAATAGAAGCACGGATCGACTCACACTAAAGGAATAGACTCAATAGAGTGAATAGATTCGCGCAAGAGGAATAGAGCATGAATAGTTTCACGCTAGAGAAATAGAGCATGAGTAGATTCACGCTAGAGGAATAGGGCAAAAAATGCCAAAAATAGCTTCACACTAGAGGAATATAGAAAATATAGAACACAAATAAATTCATGGTAGAGGAATAGAGCATGGATGGATTAATGGTGGAGGAATAGAGCATGGATGGATTCACGCTAGAGGAATATAGCACAGATAGATCCACGCTAGGAATAGAGCATGAATAAATTTGCACTAGAGGAATAGAGCAGGGGTGGATTCACGCTAGAGAAATAGTACAGATAGATTTACAGTAGAGGAATGGAGCAGAGATAGATTCGTAATAGAGGAATAGAGCACAAATAGATTCACGGTTGCACATTCGTTGGAATTCACCCATTCTAATCATTTTACATTGGGCGTGTCTAGTATCGTCGGTTACTTTCTGTAGGTCTTTCTCATACTTCAGTGCAAATTCACGAGTGTCTGGTGGTAACATTTGAATCTGGTCAGGCTTCAAAGTTCAAACAGTCTATAGGTCTGCGTGGCTTCTACCGTTTATGCAACTCATTGGGTGTCCTATTTATTATCTGATCTGATCTGGTCCAATAGTACATGCTCATCTTAATCTATCTGATCTGGTCCAATGGACCAATAGTATATATGAGGGTTTGCTGTGAAGACATTGACAGCTGTGATCATATACCTTCATGAGTTGCTGCCAGTGCTTCCCTGTGAACTTAGCATCCGTATCACTAACTATAGTTGAGGAGTGACCGTTATGTTTGACCCAGTGCACAAAAAAGTTGAAAACTGAGAGATTACTAATTTTGTTTTGGCTTCTGCTGTTTTCTACAGGCAAAGGAGCAAATTATGCATATTTACTGAACTGATCCACTATTACCATGACCTGACCAATCTTAGTTCTGCTTTTGGACTTTATTGGAGTCATAAAGTCTATAATACTCTATAATAGTCTATATGGATTCACCTGGTCCAGAGAGAATAGGTAGCCAGCCGTCTTAGCAGTCCTAGTTCGGCCTGCATCGTACTTTTGTTACTTTGGCATACGTTTGCATTCCTATACATACGTTATACAGTCCGTCTTCATACCTGGATATATGTACGAACACAGTAGGCTATCATACATGCTTCTCCAACCGAAGTGTCCCTCTGCATCATGGGCTTCCCCTAGTACGAGGGTCCTGATTTCTTCACTGAGCAGAGTGCCAAGTCAGTCTTCACCACGTGCCGTGAGGAATACTAATCCATCTTCTACCCTATAGTCGGGCCATTGATACGGCTTCTCCTAATCCCTTTGCAATTATAACTTCCTTATAGATAGGATCTTCGTCATAGGTGGTTCTAATCTTTTGCTGAACGTCCTTCCGGGCATCTACGTCTGTGGTAATCATTCAAAGAAATCTGCTCGTCCCGGCAGAAATCATTTGGTGTAGAGTTGCACTCAGTCTGTCAGCTGCCTGTGAAGGAAGCACGAAAAGTAAAACAGAAGAATTGAGTGGTGTTAGAATCATGCAGGATTCGATCAATTTCTAAGCTCTAACTCAATTTCATCAGTTTGCATCAGACAGGTAATCACTCATGCTTCACAGACGACTCCCAAACCGCATTTGTTAATGCTTGATAAAAGACTCCCGAAACTCGTTTATGAAGTGCACATCTGAAAACTTGATTATTCAGATTGAAAATTACGTCCACCTGCGTGCCCTCTGAATGACCTGTCCAAGATACAACAAACAGGGTACCAATCGATAAAGGATGTTGGGAGAAACAATCAGATGTGGCTGTGCTCTCATCTTGCCATCACTTGCTGATGAGGAAACACTTGCCCATCTTGCTTGATGCACCAACTTTTTCATAAGCCTTAGAAAGCCTATCTAAACTGCGAGAGTGCGTTTTTGTCAGACTGTGATCCGCATTCTACTCAGACCGAACACACCTCCCTAGCAGTCTACCAACTAGTCTGCCTGGTTTCAAAAACCGGCACAAACATCTGCAACTCTACAACGAAAACAGTCATTTGAGGCCTTGATATCATACCCCAGGGCCAGAGCTTCCAAACGTGCACAAAATCTCAAAAGGACACCACACCATGTAATTGTGCTGCACCCAACAGTGGTCACTCAGGCCCAATTCCTAACAAAAAATGGGCGACTTTGACTGTGAAATTTGTCCTTGATTAGATATTGAGAATCAAGTTCAATCAGCAATGCTCCCACTTTAGACTTTGAAGAACATGTTGGAAAGAGGACAATGCATAGGCTTGTTCAAGCGGAATGGTGCACCCAACAATGGTCACTGAGGTCCAATTTCTAACAAGATATGGGTGACTTTGGCTTTTGGGGTTTGTTCTTGATTAGATATTGAGAATCAACAATGCTCCCACAACAGGCTTTGAAGAACATGTTGGAAAGAGGACAACACATAGGCTTGTTCAAGCGGAATATGCTCGAATGGTGCACTCGATGTTGGGAACTGAGGTGAACATATTCATTTATTTCTCATTTTCTTCCTCTGTCCAATTCGCTGCTATGCAGACCTTTTCTGCGAGCTGTCAGAACTGGATCGTATCCTACTTGTTGAAAAAAAATATTGAAGTCAGTGCACACATTGTGCTTCCAAATGTGTGTGTGTGTGTGTGTGTGTGTGTGTGTGTGCGTGTGTGTGTGTGCGTGTGTGTGCGTGTGTACAAGCAAAATGCTACCATAGCAGCTCAAAACATGGAAATTCTTACCTGGTCTCATCCTCAATCATGATCGCTCTATTGCACGGAGATGTCATCCTCTCATGCATAGGGCATTCTTACATCTTGCAAGGAAACATAGGAGACGAAGAAGAAGAGAGGGAGGAGGAGGGGGGAGCAATTATGGTAGGGCCATCATACATTGGCCATTTGGCCAATGGAGGGGGGGTGGCACATCCCCTAAAGCGCTTTCCGCCGCTTGCGCACGTCATTACTCATCAGAGGGTGATTAAACTCTGGCTCCCAGTGGTGGGTGAGAGAAGGGCATCGCGAGCATAGCATATGGGGGAGGGTAGCGTGTTAGCTAGAGGCTCACCATATGCCCGTTGATTTCAGCATCGTTGATAGCTTCATCCATGGCCGCCATAATCCTTGTAGTCGAGTGGTGGCACGTGGCCCATTCGTGATCGCAGTGCCAAAGCAGTGCTCTGCTTCTGCCAATCAGTGTCTCACCAACTGCTCACAGTAGCTAACCTTGGGGCGGGTGAGCAGTGGCAGTCAGTAGGTGATGCCTTCAAGCTGTATGTAGCTATGGAGGAAAAGGTTGCCGTAGCTCGGCACCTCGAAGGCGTGAGAACCTAGGAGAATGAAGGAGGGTGGAGGAGACAGACCAATAGTGGGTACCGCCTCGGAGTGGTCGAGGACAGTGTGGCACCCATTGATAGGCAGAGGCATAAGAAGTAGAAGAGATGGGTAGGTGGTTGCGTGGGTGTGGGGGAGCAGTTGGGTGGTAGAGGGGCCATGGGGTGGTGTTGCAGAGGGGTACGGGTGCTGGTGGTGGGGACTTACGTGAGTATAGAAGAAGGCTGGTAGGTGGGGTCTGTGGGAGGGGGTACGCGAGGGAAAGGGGGGGCGTGGGTTTGGTGAGTGGCTATGGAGTGTGTACAGGTAGGATATGAGGTGCTCATGAGAGCAGGAGGGAAAAAAAGGGGCGTGTTGTCAAAAAACGTGGAGTTTGGGTTGCTGGGTGGTGGGCAGCGGATTGCAGGGATACGGTAGGAGGGTTTGGGGGCATGCAAGCATAAGGTTTCTGTTGTGAACGGAGAGGTGTACGTGCTCATGAGGCAGGAAGCAAGTGGGGAGGGCGTTGTTAGCTGTATGCGGCTATGGCAGCATGGATGTTTTGTTTGTATAGTGGCGATGGTCGGGACTGCAGGACGCGTTTTTGGAGGGAGGAGGTGAGTGGTGGGAGGAGAGGAAGGGAGTTCTTTTGTCCGCAGTAGGGGCAGAGGTTTTTTTTGTGACGTTTCAGCGTGGTGCAGTTTTGTGATGGTATACCGATTCGGATTGTTCGTGTTTTTTTTTTGGGAAAACGACGCGTTTCTGGAGGGGGGAGGTGAGTGGTGGTAGGGAGAGGAAGGGAGTTCTTTTGTCCACAGTAGGGGCAGGGTTTTTTTTTGTGACGTTTCGGCGTGGTGCAGTTTTGTCATGGTATACGGATTCGGATTGTCCGTGTATTTGCTGGGTTTTGGTCGTTGGGGACTGTGTTCAGGCCCAGTGGGTGGGGCACCTGGTGTTTTTGCCCAACTTTTGCGAATGGCGATGGGGTGGGGGTGTTGCGCAAGTTTGTGATTTTAAGTTATATCTTACTGTGTACATATCTGTGGGGGGGGG